AGAGCAACTGTGAAGCCGTTTTTCTTAAAGTTTGCAGACAAGGATTTTAGCAATTGACTTCAAAATGGCCGACAGGAAGTAGGTATCGAGTTAATTTTGTTTCATCCACATCTGTATGCACCCATAAGTTATCCCTGAAAATTTGAAGGTGATATCTGTAGCGGTTTTGGAGAAAACTGCCGGACGTACGGACGGACAGACGGACGGACAGACAGACGGACGCGCCTAGGCCGACAATATGGCCCCACACTATGTGGTGGGGACATAAAAATGGATGAACTTCCTGGTTACGATTTTTTTGTTTTCTCGATTTAAGCCTACTTTATAATTTGGCACAAAGCTAGGAAATATAGTCTAGTTTTGATAAGTTTCTTCGATTTGACATTAGTTTTGTAAATGAAGTTGCAATTCATATATTTAGCCCCTCGGTTTTGTTACATTGACGAAAGTCCGTTATATTACCAATGTGTGTTACTTTGACGACTTACTCAATGTAATAAAAGCAATAGTCTAAATGCATCAATTTCAGCTTTATTTAAAATGAAATTCCAAACCGAGAGCATTTCTAAAAGCTTGACTATATTGTCTAACTTTGTACCAAATGATAATCCACAAATTGACTTATACGTAAGTTTAAATCGAGAAAACAAAAAACTCGTACCCATGAAGTTCACCCATTTTGTTTTGTAACTAGTTGTGGAACAGTGAGGCATGAGCATATAAAATTTGAACAAAATCTGTTCACTGGTATTTCAGTTATCAAAGATTACATTTTTTACGAAAAATGGCGGCCATTTTGGAAGTCAGTAGCCATCTTGAAAATATTTTCTTGAGCAAAACTCCTTTGTTCTAGGCATCAGCATATAAAATTTGAACCAAATCTGTCAACTAGTATTTGAGTTATCAGAGATTACAATTTTTATACAAGGCATTAACATGACAAAATGTCACCACCTAGTTGCTTACAATATTATTGTAGATGATTTTGAAAAATGGTCAATTTGAAAGAGTTGTCAAGTTGGAAAAAGATCTTTTTTAACCCTGAAAATGTAATTAAAGGTGGAATCTCAAATCTAAAGTCATTGTAGATGATTTTGAAAAAATGCTCAATTTGTAGCAAGTTGAAAAAATACCTTTTTGAGAAGGTCATTGAAGGTCAAATATTTTTTTTACCATGAGAATATCATTGAAGGTCAAATCATAGTCAGATTTGAACTTTTGAGAACTTCAAGATGATTTTGAAAAAATTTATCAATTTGAAGCAAGTTGAAAAAGACCTTTTTGACATTGAAAAGGTCAATGAAGCAATCAAGGTCAAATCTCAATTCTAAAGTCTAAAGTCAGATTTGAACTTCTGATAACTTGTAGATGATTTTTAAAAAAAAATTGTCAATTTGAAGCAAGTTGAAAAAAGACCCTTTTGACTATGAAGGTCAGATCTCATATCTAAAGTCAGATATAAACTTCTGATGACTTGTAGATGATTTTGAAAAAAAATTGGTTAATTTGATTGAAAAAAAATTTGGTCAATTTGAAGCAAGTTGAAAACAGACCTTTTCGATCTTGAGAAGGTCAAATCTCAAATGTAAAGTCATATTTTAACTTCTGATAACTTGTACATGATTTTGAAAAAGAAAATTGGTCAATTTGAAGCAAGTTGAAAAAAGACCTTTCTTGACCTTGAAAAGGTCACTGAAGGTCAAATCTGAAATAAAAAGTGAGATTTGAACCTCTGAAAACTTGTAGATGATTTTGAAAAAAACTGAAGTAAGTCTAAACAGTATTTGTTAAGTTATTAGAAGTTTCGTTACATTACAATTTGTTACAGATGCTAACCGCCGATCGCCGACCACCAACCGCCGTCAAAAAAAACGGAGACCATAACAATATGCACCCACTTTTTGGTGGTGAGATAAAAATGGCAGCCATTTTGAATTGAGTGGCCATATTGAAAGTTTATTCTCAAGCAGAGGTCCTACACAGTCATAAGGCATAAGCCTATAAAATTTGAATCAAATCCGTCAAGCGGTATTTGAGTTATCGTCTGATACATGAACGGACGGACGAACAGAAGGCTTCTCTATATCCCCTCGAATTTTGTTCCGTGGGATAACAAAGGAAATTTTTAAAAAATTTTCCATAATATTGGAAGGCTTTAAATTATTCAATTGCAATTCAGTACATGTGTGTAGGCACACACACTGAAGGTGGGTCATTCATTTAACCAATAGAAATGCAACACATTTGTCTGTCTGAACGGAGGTGAAACCAACATCATTTCAGAGAAATTAATAAAATAAACATTATGAAACACAATATAAATACAGGGTGTGCCAACAAATTTTGCAACTTTTTCAAAAGGCTAGAAAAGTATCATAACTTTAAGGTATTAACATAAAAATTGATTTATAGAAAATTTAAGATAGGCATATTTTACCATTCAAATATTTAAGCTAATACTGAATTTTTTTGACAGTTCTTTGAATATCAGTGGTAAATTATTCATGTGTCCGAGATTTACTGCTTTTCCAAGAAAATGTGACTTTTTATGTGATTAGCAATAACACATCCATTATGTTCACTAAATCTGCTACAATCTCTGAATCTGTTTATTCAATATCTAGTACAGTTTTATATCAGTATCTACTCACTATGGTATTATGTTATACTCTATTAATTATTTATTATTTATTAATCACATGTTCCAAATCCACCTTTTACCTTCACTATCGCTCCCAGCCATCGGGCAAGGGTCACTTTGGACTGGAGGAGGATACCTCTAGATTTATCAGTCCTGATGAATTGCTGCCCAGTACACCAGATGCCAACCCCTGTGACTATCTCACATGGGGGCATTTGGTGCAGTTTATTGCAGTTATTGGTAATCCCCACAGAACCTATTCATCAACTAAAAGAAGTTCTGCAGGAGAATTGGAACGAACTACCACAAAATCGCTGGATGGCGTCATTGCAGTCCGTGAATTGACTTTGTGAATTGACATAGATGAGCCCATGTCAATGAAAATATTCACTTCTCGTTTATTCATGTATTCATGTACCCATTTTGGTAATTTCAGGTTAAAACCAAGTCAATATCTAAATGCATTTTGTCAATGACTTAAGTACATACTTAAATACTTGTACCTTTAAAGATGGAGAAAATATTTTTATTATTTTTTAATTCAATATTATAATCAAACTTATTTTAAAGAGAATTTTAAGGAGAAAATATTTGTATTATTTTTAATTTAATATTATAATCAAACTCATTTTAAAGAGAATTTTAAGGAGAAAATATATGTATTATTTTAAAATTCAATATCATAATCAAACTCATTTAAAAAAGGATTTATTTAATCTTTTGGCATGAAATCGCAGAATCTGAATTAGCGTTCATAATAGCTGTCATGAATGTATTAATAATTCTAAAGCTGCTGGAGACATGTCTGTAGCAGCATTATGTACAAAAACTCAGTTCAATAGATGACGGTAAGTGATTTAAACTTATAGCCTGGGGGGGGGCCATACCCAATAATAAAAATAAAACCATAGATAGAAGAAAAAAAGAGCTTTAGAATGCAAATTTTTATTTGAAGCTTCTAACTCAGTCTTGAAGGAAGTTGCATCAATTTTTGTAAAATTCAAATAAAATATCTTGTTTGTATTTGTTTTAGTAGTGAAACTTTGTCAACTTTTACACTGAACAAACTTTAATTGTGCAAACCTTCTTTTATCAAACTTGTCTGGTAATGTCGATAATGTCATTATTGCAGTTATATGATTATTTTTATAAAACAAGTTGCATCGCTCAATACATGAAACACGCAGTTGGCCTTTACGTGTACGTACTTCGCTCAGCTGTGTCAACGACAAAGGTATACAGTCGTGATGGAAAATAATTTAATTGCTTCATAATATCGCTTCAAATAAAATAGCACAAATAACACAACCCTATGTAAAGGTTAACCAACTTGTACCTAAAGGTCATTGTCTGTTGTCCTGTTATTTTCTAAAGGACACCTAAAATTTACCAATATAGTTCTGTGGTGGAAATTTTCTATGATGCAGCAGTCCTGGGTTCAATCCCAAGTTCAGGCAAATTTGCTTGTTGCGAATTAAGAAATGAAGTCAATGAAAAATTAATTGAGATTTCAGCTCACTTCACTAGTCAAGCTTTTAAAGCTCTTGATCAAGATCTTTTTAATAACTAGGGTAAAGAATTGAGGTAGAGGGTGGGGCAAGCAGAGTAAACACAGTAATACATTCCATATTATTGCAAATGTTCAGTGTATTTTCCTAATCAATCAATATTTTTGTCAAATTAGTTACAATTGCCGCTAATATTATCTAATAACCTTGGCAATTTTTCTTATGTACACATTTGATGATTGAACGAAATAAACTGGAATATTAAAAAAAAAAATTAAAAAAATTAAGAAATTACACAAAGTTGCGAATTAAGAAATTACACAAAATTTTATTTTAGGAAATTTTTCTCAATTGTAATTTTCCTCTTAAACCAACAAATAAACGTAAAATGACTGTTGTTTGTGGATGTCAACCAACAAACAAGTGTAAAATGACTGTTGTTTGTGGATGTCAACCAACAAACAAGTGTAAAATGACTGTTGTTTGTGGATGTCAACCAACAAACAAATGTAAAATGACTGTTGTTTGTGGATAGAGGAGCATGATTCACACATTAAAATATAAAAAAAAATATCAAGGGAAAGGCCTAAAAAGCAAGAAAATGTTAAGAAAAATTTCCATAATATTGGAAGACTCAATTATAATTAAGTACATGTGTGAAGGCACATGTAGTGAAGGTGCGTCGCAAATTCAACCAATAGAAATGCAACACATCTGTCTGTCTGGCGGAGGTAAAACCAACATCACATCAGCAAAATAAATAAAACAAAATAAACATTATGTTAAACACAATATAAATACATGTACACGGTTTGAAGAGATCATAACTTTGTTCCGGACAAGTACAAAGCTCAACATAAAATTTTAACAAGAATACGAAAGATGAGAATGAATAATTCTATTGGAAAACTGTTCTTGACAGTATCATTGATGTTTAACATCATCCAGGGTGAGTAGAGATTTACTTTATGTTTATTATTCTTGTTTATTCATAAATAAATAAAATATCATCCAATCTCATGCTGACTAATGTACTAATTATAAAATATCATGAAAAATGTACACAATTTAAAATTCTTTGTAAAACAATGATGAATGCAAATCAATGCACCAAATTAAGTAGGCTATTCAACTTTTTTTTATTTTAAAGCATTTTCTTTCTAACAATAATTGAAGATATTTTCTCACGGTCAAATCAGTGAATTTGATTTTTATCTCAAGCCAGCTTAAGCCCTTAACAATGAAAAGTACATTGTAAACAGTTTTGTATCCAGCATACAATCAGGCTGTTACACCCCAGTCACATTTGTCGTACGGAGGCCATGCGTCAACCGCAGATCAATTAAATCAGTGAATTTCTGCGGTGAGCGTATAAAAACTACGCTCGCCTTGCGGCCTCCGTACGGCGTATCCAGTTTTTTACAGGCCAAAGGGTCACCGTAGAAATTATAACTCGGAGTTATAATATTTGTTCATTTCTGAGGTCCCCGTAGAAATCAACTGGCTCAACAAGATTGAATCATTATTTTTCAATATTTCACGATCACTTTTCATTTGATATTACATCCTAGCACTATGAATAACATTTACAAATTGTCCTGATGTAAATAAAATGAAAAAAGTATTATTTATCAACAGAAATTTAAAATTCACCGTGCGGCTGCCGTGGGAAATGTGACTGCAAAAGTATGAGAGCACAGAAATTCTACGGCGAGCGTAGAAAAGTTTCTGGCCGCAGAAATGATAGACCACACGACGGCCGTGGGAAATGTGACTGGGGTGTTAGTTACACAAGTGGATATGATCCACTGTTATATCCAAAATGATGTAGTTTTGTGTTTTAATATTATTTACATCAACAGGAATACGTTCTGTTCAATTCACAACAAGCAGTTCTAGGGGGTATCACAAAATAATGTAGTTTTATGTTTTTATCTGTTAACTAGTAGTATTCATCATCAATGTTCCTTTTCCAGACAACAATGCCGAAGGTGGAACCTGTGGTCAGAAGTTAAGCCAGAAGAAAGATTTGTGGGAAATTAGAGATACCATTACAGGAGATGTCATTACACTGAAAGAAGAGGTTTCAAACTTGAGAGAAGAGGTTTCAAAGCTGAAAAACGTAGTTTCAACTTGTGTGAATAAACCTGATGTAAAGTGTGACAATGCAGAGTTAAAAGATGATATACAGAAAATAAGAAATGATTTGCAGATGTTACTTAGTGCAAGTGAGTGTTTGAAATAATTTTTGTAAGGGCAGCTGTGATTTATGTTACCACACTTGCAGATCCCGGGGGGGGGGACTTCACTCTTCACTCATTTTAAACCTAATATGGACCTGAGAAAATATGCCTTATTATGAGAAATGACCATATGGTAGCTAAAATCTTCATAAAGGTCCTAACTGTTTTGCAAATAAGGACTTTGCAATTTCCGTGAAGCCTCATATAAATTTGCCATGGACTTTCTATTGGTAACTAAGCCAATATTATGACCAATAAACTATGGTAATCAATTATGACTGTTTCCTTATCGACAATATTAATGCAAAGTTTCATTGTACAGACTTTACCTACATGTATTAGGCTACATGTATATATAATGCACATCATACCACAAAATAATTTAGATCAAATATAAAGTCAATACTGTAAATTGCTTTAATTTGATGGCCGTTTTAATTTGGTGGATTTGGCGGATGGATAGAAACCACCAAATTAAGTCTCCAACAATTTTTTTAAAATGAAATTCCCAGGATTTTTGTCCAATGCCTTTTTGTTCGACAAAACTTTGATGAAAATCTGAAATGAATGATGGATAAAATGGATAAACGCTGTGAAGTAAGTAATACGATTGATGATGGTCAATCAGCCAAATTATATAGCAGCCAAAATTTCAAAATTTGCCAAAATCCGCCAAATTAAACAGTGCCAAATTAAAGCAATTTACAGTATTTGTATACTAGTATGCTCCTTTTCTGTTTTAAGCTACTTCTTCCAAGAACTCTCATCAGATTGGTCAACTAGCTATTGTACAATATAGTAATGATCAACAAATGCATGCCATTATACCAAATACTAGATAAAAATAAATCAAAAGTCAGCTTTGCCTCTCTTTTGTTTTAAGCTACTGTAGGGGTACCAGACTGTGAAAATCAACTCGATGGCAGGGTAAATATCAGAGCTACAGACAGAGTCTTCAAAACGCAATGTCTCAACGGTTGGCTTGTTTTCGCCAGGAGGTTTGATGGATCAGTTGACTTTTATAGGAACTGGACAGATTACAAAAATGGATTCGGGCACACTGACGGTGAATATTTCTTAGGATTTAATCAAATATTATCAGTTTTGAAGCAGGGGAGTTACAAACTTCGTATAGAACTCACTACTTGGCCGGATCAAGGGAATGTCACAAAGTATGCAGAATATAGTACGTTTGATCTGGCAGGAGAGAGTGAACAATTCAGAATCACTGTGTTGGGATACTCTGGAACAGCGGGTAATAGCATGTATTACCACAACTACGCGAAGTTTAGTACGAGGGACAAAGAGCATGATACATGGAGTGGTAACTGTGCAACTATGTGGTTGGGAGCATGGTGGTATAAAGGTTGTTTGATTACAAATCCTTTTGGACCATACATGTCTTCATCACAATGTGATGTGGCTGCTCAATGCATGTATTGGGGTAATTGGCCAGAAAATATTGGTGGTCCATATAATAGGAACTACTCATTTAGAAAAATGAGGATGATGATAAGAAGAGTTTGAGTTTGATTTTATTCCATGAATAAACATTTCTGTAAAATACTAACAAAACAAATATTTTCTTTTAAAATCAACTTTCAAATACAATATAAGCAAAAATACCTGTGCATGATCTTACTATCATACAAAATCCTGTGTTAAATCCTCGGTATATAACCAATTTCAACTATAAATAAGTACTAGTATATGTAATAAATATTGATAATTGAAGACATTTAGAGAGTTGGTTCATACTCTGTATACCTCATGGATGGAATAGATTTCTATCGAACAAGCAACATTATTGGAAATTAGAACTCGAACATTATCAGAAAATTCAGAATTCCCCAAATCAAGTGATTTTGGTTCAACAATGGGGAAATATTGCCCTTTCTCTGTTGTTAAAAAGACCCCTGACCATGACTAAAAAAAAAACCCTGACCATGACTAAAAAAGACCCCTGACCACGACTAAATATACCATCAAAGGGACAATACATGACTCTGTGTTATTCCAATTGACTCTGGCCTAGTGTAAAGAAAGTAGTTAAAAAATCAAGTTATCATTCTATTTTCAATATTGACAACCAAAACCCCTGTACAAACCTTATCTTTGAAATATTCACTTACATATATGTCACATAATTGACCATTAACTAAGGGATGATCTAGTGGGGCAAAAAGCTACCGAAGCCTAAAATGTCCTCTACAGTCCTTATTGTAGCCTTGCCACAATACTGTGTATCCCCCCCCCCTCAAATACTTCACACAGTGTTGAAGTTGAGGTATGGGGATACAGTCTTGAAGCAAGATCCTTAGGTCACTGGCAGATTCAGGGGGGGACACAGGGGGAATGGGCCAATAAAAACATTTTTGGCCCAAAAATGTTGTAGGGCTTCAATTAGTGGGCCTTTTTGGGTATGACTTGGCCTTTTTGGGCCTTATTTTCTAATTTTAGACCAAACTATCTTAAAATTGAGCCTTAAATTTTCAAAATTTGGGTCCAATTTTTGGTTTTAAGGGCCACAAAAAAATTTCTGGCTTGAAATTGAGCCCCCTGTCCCTTGTTGGTTTCTGGATCCTACAGTGCTAGTTGCCCCTTTAACCTTTAAGGTCTAGACCCCTAGAGTAAGAAAATAGGTGATAGCATTGCAGCTAGCATTGGTAGCTTAATAGGTGTTATCACTCATTTTTCAAAATGGCCGCCGGTGCGCTTGCTACCAAATAAAAGAAGTTATATCTAAGTATACTGAGAACCTAATTCTGGGTTTTAGGGGTCAATGATTTGAGTTATCTCTAAATCCAAGTCATCAAAACATTAATTCATATGAAAATCTAAGATGGCCGCCAAATTTGGTTCAAAAACAAATATGTACTAATGATACAAGCTCAAAAACGTTTCAACATGATTTTCAAGAGTTTTAGAAGAGGTTTTAGAGTCTAAAGATTTTATTCATGTCTAAAGCTATGTCATCAAAGGATAACTTTATATTGAAATCCAAGATGGCCGCAAAATAGGTGCCAAAACGAATATGTCATTACAGAATTGATATACATATAAGTTCAAGGAACAGATAAAAAGCAATTTTGTAGATAATGAAAGGGTTTAGGGGTCAAGGATTTCATTTATGCCTCATTTAAGTCTAAGTCAGCAAAGAATTGCTTTATATGGAAATCCAAGATGGCCACCAAAATGAAAATGTAACTACATGTATTGATATAAGCTCAAAGAACAGATAAAAATTAATTTTTTGACCATGAAAGTGTTAGGGGATCAATGATTTTATTGTCTTTGTCACCGAAGAATAACTTGATGTGGAAATCGAAGATGGCTGCCAAAATGAATATGTTACTATTAATATATGTTCAAAGTGATTTTTGAGACCATGTCTAGGTTTCAATGGTCGAGAACTTTAATTAAGTCTAAAACTTAGTCATCAAATAATTCTTTTAAAATAATTCTTAACCAAAATGGCTGCCAAAAGAATAAGTAATTTTGGAATACATTTATTTGAATATCCAAGATGGCCCTAATGGGATGTACCATCTCAATTGTACCCTCTTCATTGCAGCAATGAACTGGATTGTGAAAGCAGAAGAGTCCAAGTAAGGTGGTCTCAAAGTGAATGATGACACAAAACATCCTTCTTGCCAAGCCTTTATGGATATCATCACTGTTATGCCCTAGTCATTCCCTGGAGCACAACGGATTCTAAGCTGCCTTGAGATGATGGCCAATTGGGCATGTATCTAGGGCAATCCAAGAAATCTTTTCAGCTGAGTGGTATACAAAGGCAGCTAATGTGCAATTATTCATACTATCCATGATGAGATAATTGAATATCTAGGGAAATATTTTGATGAGTTTCTTTAAGATATCGAGAGCATCTGTGAGAACTAGAAAAATGAATGAAAGCTATTGACCTTAGCCATGTAGGGAGTTGGTTCAAAGTCACATGCTTTCAGTTTGGTGTTATTCTCCTATGACTTTTCCAACTATGTAACTTCCATTACAACAACAGAGGCTGAGGAGAAAGAGCAACATCAACAGAGTAAGAAGGGGTGACTTGCAAAGGTTACCTGGGAGTAGATAGGCAACTTTGGTTCCAATAATCTCAGACAAACACACACCCAAAAAGGTTAATAAGTATTTTAGCACTCTGGGAATTAGCTCTTGACAATGGACCAAGTTAAATTTTGGTGTATCCCAAAAGCTCTAATTGACTCTAATTCCAAGAAAAAAAAGAGAAAAACAAAGAAAATGAAAAAACGAAGACAACACAAATGAGAAAACACAAATAAAACAAGAAAATTGAAAGGCAGCAAAGAAAATAACAAAGAAAACAAAAAACAAAGAAAAAAATGAAAACAACAAAGAGCACTGAAAAATATAGAGGTTATAACAGATAAAGAGAGAAATAAGCTAGAAAATAGGAAAAAACTTAACCAACAGCCAATTTGGCAGCCATCTTTGATTTTTATCAAGACAACAATTTAACAATTAAAGTAAAAAGAAAAAGTTTCAATGGTAACTGAAATCCTCAATCCCTAGATCCTAGTTAACTAGTCAAGATACCACAATCACTTGCCAACATCCTCTGTTAATGCTTATAGATATACATGTATGTACATGTAAATATTCATTTTGGCAGCCATTTTGGTGACCATTTTGGATTTTAATATGAGGAAGGGTTAAGATGACTTTGGTAAAGGGTAAATTGAAACCATTTTCCCCTGAAACCTAGTTTCAGATATCTATTATGTACATTACTTTTCCAACTTTTCTATGTGCGTATAAATTCATTTTAGCAGCCATATGTTTGGCCATTTTGGCAGGCATTTCAAGTTTCTATATGAAGGTGTTCTTTAATCACTTAGATTTATCCATGGAGGGAATCTGTATTAACCTCTAAAACCCTATCATGGTCTGCAAAAGCACTTTTTAACTGTTCTTTGAGTTTATATAAATAGTTTACATATTTTCATTTTGGCACTCATTTTGGTGGACATCTTGGAATTTCATATAAAGGATTTCTATTATTACTTACATTTAGACACAAATAAAATCCTCAGCCTCTAAAACCTATTTATGGTCTCCAAAGTCACTTTAAAACGTTCTTTGAGCTTTTTTTTAGCTTATATCAATAGTAACATATTTGTTTTGAGACCTATTTTGGTGGCCATCTTGGATTTCCATATAAAGCAATGTTTTGATGACTTAGATTTTGACATAAATGAAATCCTTGACCCCTAAAAACCCAAGAATAGACTTCAAAATCACTGTTTTGCCTCTCATTATACTAAGATATGATTTCTTTTATTTGGTAAAAAGCGCAATAGCAGCCATTTGTAAAATGCTTAAAATAAAATAGCACAAATAACACAACCCTATGTAAAGGTTAACCAACTTGTACCTAAAGGTCATTGTCTGTTGTCCTGTTATTATCTAAAGGACACCTAAAATTTACCAATATAGTTCTGTGGTGGAAATTTTCTATGATGCAGCAGTCCTGGGTTCAATCCCCAGTTCAGGCGAAATAAATTTGCTTGTTGCAATTTAAGAAATTACACAAAATTTTATTTTTGGAAATTTTTCTCAATTGTAATGTTCCTCTTAAACCAACAAATAAACATAAAATGACTGTTGTTTGTGGATGTCAACCAACAAATAAATGTAAAATGACTGTTGTTTGTGGATGTCTACCAACAAATAAATGTAAAATGACTGTTGTTTGTGGATAGAGGAGCATGATTCACACCTCCAAATATAAAAATATCATGGGAAAGGCCTAAAAAGCAAGAAAATGTTAAGAAAAATTTCCATAATATTGGAAGACTAAATTACAATTAAGTACATGTGTGTAAGCACAGACACTGAAGGTGCGTCGCAAATTCAACCAATAGAAATGCAACACATCTGTCTGTCTGGTGGAGGTAAAACCAACATCACATCAGCAAAATAAACAAAACAAAATAAACATTATATTAAACACAATATAAATACATGTACACGGTTAGAAGAGATCATAACTTTTTTCAGGACAAGTACAAAGCTCAACATAAAATTTTAACAAGAATACGAAAAATGAGAATGAATAATTCTATTGGAAAACTGTTCTTGACAGTATCATTGATGTTTTACATCATCCAGGGTGAGTTGAGATTTACTTTATGTTTATTGTTCTTGTTTATTAATAAATAAAATATCGTCCAATCTAACGCTGACTAATGTACTAATATCAATACAATATCATGAAAAATGTACACAATTTAAAATTCTTTATCAAACAACGATGAATGCAAATCAATGCACCAAATTAAGTATTTAACGTTTTTTTATTTTAAAGCATTTTCTTTCTAACAATAATTAAAGATATTTTCTCTCAAATCAGTGAATTTGATTTTTATCTCAAGCCAACTTAAGCCCTTAACAATGAAAAGTACATTGTAAACAGTTTTGTATCCAGCATACAATCAGGCTGTTAGTTACACAAGTGGATATGACCCACTGTTATCCAAAATAATGTAGTTTTGTGTTTTTATTGGTAACTGTACATCCTCCTAAGCAGGTGTCCAGCATCCGTACCTCCTTCTTCCCCCTGCTATAACCAATTTGGAAGCGCCCGATAAAACTGAATCATGTGATCTAATTATGTGCGATGACGTATACATGATTGCTATCGCAAAGTTGCGACAGTGAATCAAATTGCGAGTTCTAAATCGGGGAAATGCCAACTGCTTATCACAGGAGGTAAAAAGAAAGAAGATATTCTGGATTTTGAAGCCCTGTGATCGGAGGATGGTAACTGTACAACATGAGTAAGTGTTTATTATCAATGTTAATCTTCCAGACAACAATGCCGAAGGTGGAACTATTGGTAAGAAGAATTGCAAGAAGCAAGATTTGTGGGAAATGAGAGATACTATTACAGGAGATGTCACTACACTGAAAGAAGAGGTTTCAAACTTGAGAGAAGAGGTTTCAAAGCTGAAAAAAGAAGTTTCTACTTGCGCAAATAAACCTGACACAAAGTGTGACAGTGCAGAGTTAAGAGAAGATATACAGAAAATACTTGGTGAGTGTTTGAAATTTTGTTAGCAATTATACAGGGCATCAGTGAAACACTCACTTGCAGATAATGGAGAAATCACTCATTTTAGCCCTAAATGGGACCTCTTTTTGAGAAAATATGCCTTAATTTGAGAAATGGCCATATGGTAGCTAAATTTTCATAAAGGTCCTAACTGGTTTGCAAATAAGGACTTTGCAGTTTCGGTGAAGCCTCATATAAATTTGCCATAGACTTTCTATTCGTACCTAAGCCAATGTTATGACCAATAAACTATGGTTTGAATCTGTTATGATTGTTTCCTTATCTACAATATTAATGCAAAGTTTCATTGTACAGACTTTACCTACATATATATGCATATAAGTTTTAAAAACTATACCCGATATGAATCAAACTAAGATTAGACATCAACTACTTTTTTAAAAGAACTATATTTAATTCTTGTTTGGTAAATCTGATTATCATTATTAGATAAAATTGAGAGGGTCTATTCCTCATTTTCATGATTCATTGTTACAATTGTTAATGAAAATTTTTTAATCACTTATCAGATTTTCTTTATTTAGCTCATTTAGTCAAAATTGTAATGCACATCATATCACAAAATAATTTACTATCAAATATAAAGTCAATACTGTAAATTGCTTTAATTTGATGGCTGTTTTAATTTGGTGGATTTGGCGGATGGATAGAAACCGCCAAATTAAGTCTCCAACAATTTTTTCAAAAATGAAATTCCCAGGATTTTTGTCCAATGCCTTTTTCATGTGTTACCAGTTGCTCGATAAAACTTTGGTGAAAATCTGAAATGAATAATGGATAAAATGTCAATTTTAAACTATTTCTGATGACCTACAGAGTCCCCTCTAATTTGTATTATAAACAATCTGATTTGCCAAAATCCGCCAAATTAAACAGTGCCAAATTAAAGCAATTTACAGTATTCATATATGCTCCTTTTCTATTTTAAGCTACTTTTTCCAAGAACTCTCATCAAACTGGTCAACTAGCTATTCTACAATATAGTAATGATCAACAAATGCATGCCATTTTACCAAAAACTAGATAAAAATAAATCCAATAGTCAGCTTTGCCTCTGTTTTTTTTTAAGCTACTGTAATGGTACCAGACTGTAAAAATCAACAGGATGGAAGAGTTAATATCAGAACTACAGATAGAATCTTCCAAACGCAATGCATCAACGGTTGGCTTGTTTTTGCTCAGAGGTTTGATGGGTCGGTTGACTTTTATAGAAATTGGGCAGATTACAAAAATGGATTCGGACAAATTAACGGGGAATACTTTTTGGGCTTTAATAACATATTATCAATTTTGAAGCAGGGGAGTTACAAACTTCGTATAGAAATCACTACTTGGCCGGATCAGGGTAATGTCACTAAGTATGCAGAATATAGTACGTTTGATCTGGCGGGAGAGAGTGAGCAATATAGGATCACTGTGTCGGGATATTCTGGAACGGCAGGTGATGGCATGGCGTACAGCAACAACGCGAAGTTCACTACGAGGGACCAAGATCGTGATACATGGAGTAGTGGTAACTGTGCAACTCGAGAATTTGGAGCATGGTGGTATAAATTCTGCACATATGCTAACCTATATGGACCTTACATGTCTTCATCACAATGTGATGTGAGAGCTAGATGTATGTATTGGTATAAATGGCCACAAAGTATAGGTCATCCAGATAATTTTGGCTACTCATTTAGAGAAATAAGGATGATGATAAGAAGGGTTTAAGTTTGAGCTTTTATTCCATGAATAAAACTATTTTCTGTAAAATACTAACAAAACAAAAGTCATATTTTAAAATCCACTTTCAAATGCAATATTAGCAAAAATACCTGTGCGTGCTCTTACTATCATACAAAATCATGTATCAAATAATCGGTATATAACAAATTACAACTATAAATAAGATGAGAATATGTAATAAACATTAACAATTGAAGACATTTAGAGAGTTGGTTCATACTCTGTATACCTCATGGATGGAATAGATTTATATCGAACAAGCAACATTATTGGAAATTAGAACTTGAACTTTATCAGAAAATTCAGAATTCCTCAAATCAAGCGATTTTGGTTCAACAATGGGCAAGTATTGCCCTTTCTCTGTTGTTAAAAAGACCCCTGACCACGACTTAAAAAAGACCCCTGACCACAACTAAAAAAGACCCCTGACCACGATTAAAAAAAGACCCCTGACCAGGACTAAAAAAGACCCCTGACCACGACTAAAAAAGACCCCTGACCACGACTAAAAAAGACCCCTGACCACGACTAAATATACCATCAAAGGGACAATATATGACTCTGTGTTATTCCAATTGACTCTTGGCCTAGTGTTAAGGAGGTAATTAAAAAATCAAGTTATCATTCTATTTTCAATATCAACAACCAAAACCCCTGTACGAACCTTATCTTTGAAATATTCACTTATATATATGTCATATAATTGACCATACTAAGGGATGATCTAGTGGGGCAAAAAGCTACTGAAGCCTAAAAATGTCCTCTACAGTCCTTATTGTAGCCCTGCCCCCATACTGTATCCCCCCTCCCGTTACGGGGGATACACAGTCTTGAAGCAAGATTACCCTAGTCACTGGCAGATCCAGGGGGGGATACAGGGGGAATGGGCCAATAAAAACATTTTTGGCCCCGAAAATTTTGTAGGGCTTCAATTAGTGGGCCTTTTTAAGGTATGACTTGGCCTTTTTGGGTCTTATTTTTTAATTTTAGACCAATTTTTGGTTTTAGGGGCCGAAAAAAATATTTCTGACTTGAAATTTAGCCCCCGCCCCTTGTTGGTTTCTGGATCCACCAATGCTAGTTGCCCCTTTAACCTGTATTTAGTGCCTTACCCGCCATCTATCATCCAGTTCTTGAAGTTGCTGTTGTTTCCTCTGCAGATCGCCTTCCCTCTCCTCTTGTTCATTATACTGAAATGAAATCAATCTTACCAGATTTATTGGTGTTTTTGCACATTTTAAACAATGTAGCAAATAAAAAGGTATAAATGTGACAAACTATCACTAATTGGTAATTTTTTGCAAATATGTAACAATTGTTACAATTAAACTGAATCCCAGTGACAGAAAATTGGAGTAATTGAGAATATTAAGTAAATTGAAAGTAACTTTCAAAAGATGGCATTTACATGACAAAATGTGACTCACCGACTGCCATAACCAAATGGTAACAATTGTTACAACTGCTTATTGCTGATTGGTGGCAGTAACAAGATGTCACAAGTTCATCATGAAAGTGACATTAAAATATACATCAAATGCACATAGGGACTGACTGAACCATAAAAACAGTTAAACTTAAAATTTTCATGAAAAGTTAGTTCAGTTAAACATGTATCTGAATACCTCTCTGAAATCTGAAAACCTATCAAAACACTTTTTGCCAGTCTAAATTTTTGACCTCACACTGACTTCCTTGATAAAAAAAAACTTAACAAGTAAGCATATTTTTATGTAAGTTAATCTCTCTGGTTTTTATATATTTAAACAACTTCATTTCTTCAGAGAAATTTTAAATAAAATAATAAAAAAATTCTCTAAAGAAATTAATAAAGTTGTTTAAATTAGTCAAAGTGACATTCAGATTAGACAAGTTTTACCATACAACAATATACAACAATATACCTCGACATTCTCTTTTGGGCCTGTCACCATATAAAGGTTTTCTATAGAGATAACCCAGGCTTCTGATGTCATATGCCGGAATGGGATGTGCAGGGAAATACGACCAATGAAACCTGAAATTAAAAGACACTAACTTAAAGATGCATTATGCCATAGGTTTTTGACCCAGACAATCAATAACGTCCTATTGTTATTGCTCATATAATATCTCACATACCATGGATATATCTTGATAATAACTTTTGGGTATATTATTGCCAAAATATCAGAAATAATCAACAGAACAACCAAACTCAAGAATTAAACACAATCGATTCCTTGGCTAGCGAGGGGAATCCCTATTGAGTCACAGAAGCGCCTTGAACCAGGCAGCCAATCAGGTTTATGATAAACAAATTCAACGACCAATTAGATAACAGGAGGACTTTCCCGGAATATTCAAACTTCAGATTGAATTAATTTCTTCGAAAATAATTAGATCGGCAAGCACAATCACAAAATTAACACTGAGAGGGGGATTTGGGACTTCTTCTTTGGTAAGTAGATGGGTATATATGTGGTGCAACTCAATATGCAAAAAATCAAGAGGGGTCTTGATTTTGCTATCCTATGGCATAGAGCCTCTTTAATGTTTAAAATTTAAGTATTTGTGGGACAGACAAGAGTAAAACAAAGGCTCGTAATCTTGAATGATTTATTTATAATCCTGAATCATATTACAATCTTGAAATATAATATAATCTTGAATAGGGGTTCATGCAATTCCCCCCCCCCCTTGGCCCAACAATTCTTTCAAAATCATGCAGTTTTTCACCATTCTGAGCACTTTTCACATTGTTTTGGGCACTTTTGGGCTAATAGTCCGGATGTAGAGCCAGTAGAGGTGGAAATGCTTATTATATGAACTTTTTTTGCATTTTCTGTTTAAACATGATATCCATATTCAGAAACTGCCGGATGCCCAACGGGCATCCTTGAGGATTTTTTTTGGCGGCCATTTTGAATTTTCACACGTTTTATGTATTTTAGCCAGCATATTAGAACAGAAAACTAGCATACACATAAACATATCTTGCTGTTTTATCTATAATAGAGTTTTAATATGATGTAAACCAATATGTTAGGTTTAAGAAATGTTTCTTGACAAAAATAAAAAAAATTCAAGATGGCCGCCAACCTTACAATTTATGAAATGTCTCATTCTGTGATAATATCAAATTGATATTAGTGTTTCCTACAAAATTATCAATAAATAATACTAAATACATCTGATTATGATCTCTTTCTCACATATAAAATATCTGAAATGAGTAAAAAGTAACCTACATAATAATAATGATGTTCCACAAGGGTCATTTCTTGGTGCAATATATATCTTGAATTTATGAATTATCTTCTTTCACTAAAATTTCATCAAGGATTTCCTTCAATAAATCCTCATCAGTTTCTTCCAATTCCTGTTCAGTTACTGTCTTAGTATGTTGGTTATTGCACTCATTCCCCTTGCAAACACAGAACAATGTACATGATAAAGATGCCTTGGAGCATGAACATCGGCCAGTTCCACATACATTGCCCTCTGATGCACATGTGCACTTAATGAGCTGGAGAATTCCTTCAGGGGCACAGGGTATGTCCTTGGGCATTGTTGTTGGGACAAGTGAGCCCGTGCTGTTAATTTCCCAACCATAATCTGTTGGAAGGATAAGTGGGGGGTCAGGCATATCAGCATTTTTCCATATAGCTACTTGGAAATGAGCTCGCTTCACATGCTGGGAAAATGCTTCTGTTGTTGGTGGGAGGGATTTTAGCTTTGGTGCATTTGTAATGTGTTTTGCAGCATTTTTCTTTGCCCATACAGCATATCTCACATCAGACATTTTGTCAGTGACTTTAGGTGTAATTCCATAACATCTAGAAACAAATTCTGTTGAAGTTTTCTCAACTTCAGTCATGTCTGCATTGACATCTCCCAAGTTAGCCAGTGAGTATCTATTTAACACCTTCAGGACTGTTAGCTTGCCAATTCCATGCATGCAAGATGTCGTATCACTGCCAGAGAGACCATGCGCAGCTAACAAGTTTGGGATTTTTAATTTGTGTTCATTTAGGGTTGCATTAATGTTAATGTTTGCTCGGCCAGATGATGTTCCCTCCATTACGATGTTATTTTCAATTAACTTGTGCTTGAGACAGTGATGAAGAAGTAGAAGGAAAACATCAGTATCATCACTGCGTACACTGATATTCTGTTGGCCTTTACTGGCAGCATGCAGAACCTGGTGTACGATAATAACATCTGCTTCTTCTTGAGTGTTCCTTAAGTCATCACGTTGGTCAATATTTCCTTTGTGAATTTGTACAGGTGTTGGATCAGGACCTGTGATAACAAGGATGTTGGAGAATGATCCTTCACTAGCTTTTTGAGTGAGATGGTCGATGACACACTTTATCAACTGGACCTTGTTCTCAGTCACATTCAGAACAACATTCTGTGCAGGGAGAGGTGTGTCAGAGCTGAACTTATACACTCTACTGGCTGATTGAGCTCGAGATGACCTGGTGCTGTTCTTTATGCTATTGTCTTTATATCTGTCAAAGATAAGGTATACATCTGATTCGGTTAGGAGTCTCAGGATGTATTTAGTGAAAGCAATACAGAAGTTTTCAATTTTGCCAGCCATCGGCCATGTTATGATCCAAAGGATGGCACACCCATCAACGACACGTGCATTGCAATTGTTTCCTCTTGAGGTCACCTCAATCTGTAACTTTTGTTTCAGTGTTGATTTTGAAGTTGTGATATTAATTTCTCCATTTTCATCAAATAGTGATGTCGGTATTGGGGAGAGTTCATGGGATATTACTTCAGGGAGGTCTACAGTGCGAGTCGCAATCAACCCAATTACTCTGGAGTATATAAGCTCTGTATCAAATACAGGGGTGTCATTAACTTGCACTCGCTTTTTGCTGACAGCCATTGTAACAACCTGAAATGATTGAACATGAATGTTAAATGTAAATACAGTAAAACCTACTATAAGTATACATTTTTACATTTTGAGCCTATCAAATTCAGTTTCCAGTGCCCTATAAAACTCTCTGTAAAACTAAAACATAAAGTGGAAGTAATGAAAATTAATACATTAATAAAATCTTATTTGTCAAATTGGTGCTTGGTTGCAATATATATGTGTATACTCTGTCAATCAATATCATATTATTCTTCAAATCAAATCCATTTACATTCCCTACCATTAATAAAAAATTATATTAATTTATCTATTCTATATTTTATGCAGAAAAATAATCAATCATTTTGGCTACCTTAGAGGTTAATGATCCATAGAATCCCTCAGGCCAGGTCTCCTCATACTTCATCCATTCTTCTGTGCCAAGTCTAACAGAGTCATAGGCATTAACAGTTACAGGACTCAGCTTTCCGGTGTTAATATTGATGAGAGATGCTGGATGTGATTCTGGGTCCAATGGATCGATACATGTGACCAGCTTGTCACAAAGTTTCAAGCGGTCTGCTAAATCAGACTTTATTCTGGAGTTTCCTTCCTCCTTATGTGCAGTAATCACCTGATCTTGCTTTCCAGATATGCTTGCAAGATCATTCATCAGCTGACTACATACATGAAGACTGAGAGCCCACCTCTTTAAACTATTTGGGTTTAGGGTATTACCTATGATTCCACCTGGTCCATGACCATAGCGCATGAATGTAGTTTCAATATACATGTCTGACCATATCCCATTCCAAACACCTGGGGAATGACGGGTGACATGTTCCCCATTGAGAAAATGTTTAAGGACTTCTTCAGGTAGACCTTCCATGTCTCGTAAGTAGAACAAGCCATATTTTGCATAGTTAAAATGCCTTGCTGCGAAGAAATACGGGATCATGGCTTCAACAGCAGCTAAATGCAGCAGCCAATCAGCCTCACGTTCGGCCCTTACAAATGACATCATAATAAACACAGGCTTGATGAGGTTTTCAAGCCACAGTTTGGAGGTCAGACTACTTGCAGCTTTGGTTTCAAGTGTGGTAATCAGGTCTTCATAGTTGGAGCACTGGTTAATAGTTGTCCTCAGAACCTCTTCAGTTAGCATTCTCAATGCCCTGGTGTTATTTGGAAAATTCTTGCCAGATAGCATTTTGGCTACTCCTGCGAATGTTGAACTGAGGATGTCCTCAATTCCACTTTCAGCCATCAATACTCCAACACACCCCACAAAACTCATGAGCATGTGCTTGCCACCAACTCTGTTAATAACATTATTCAATTTCAGGGGATAATGGAATTTGACTCCAACCACTATCTTGTACAGTTGCAGATCATTTGTAAGAACAACATAGGCTTGTCCACAGTCCTTGGTGAGCTGCTGACTTTCCACAATTACAGTCAGCATTGAATTTGGGTCAGCAGGCTTCATGTCTATCAATGGTCTGTACTTTACTTTAGTGTGGTGTACAGTGGGGTGCTTTTTTTCTCTCGCTACTCTTGAATTATATCCACCAAATTCTGGTGTGTCTGGTGCACTTGTGATTTCAGAGAAGAAATTGAAATCTAACTCTCTTGCTTTTTTTACAGTTTCAGATTGGTCATTTTGGAGGTCTGGAGAAAGCAGAGTTTTGGTAGCATAGGCTTGGGACATAGGTGGATTTTTAGGTCCTTCATATATTTGGGATGGGACATCAGGACAGCTTTCCCGAGAATCACTCAAAGGTAGCCTTGGGACAGTTGTATCATATTCATCATCTGCATCATCAGTAGAATAACCTGATTGGCACTGTGTTAGAAGGAGCGCTAAGGCATGAGTTGACTTTAAACCATTTTGGGAAGAAATATTGGCATCAAAGTTATCACTCATTAGTTGTATGAGTCCATCTTTATGGTCAAATGGACCATGATCATCGCCCTCTTTAGATACAGCTGATGCCACTGATGACTTGAACCTATTAACCTCTTCATAAGAACAGCAGACATGGAAATCAAAAAGGGAATTGATTAAGCACTTTTGTCTCAGTAAAACACCTAGAGCAACTTGCAGGGGGGTGTATCTTGTTGTTACTACACTGGTGATGATGTTACCAATCAATATTGTTGATAAGGATGATTTATTTAATTTTGGTGATATTGCCTCTAAGAGCATGATCAAGGTAGGACTGACTGGTTCTGAGGCTATCCTTCCATTTATTCTTGTTTTGTATGATTTATTATTAGGACATACTTCTTTGCACTCTTTGATTATAATGGATGCAAGTTTTTTAACTTGAACATTTGTCTCATCTTCATCGACATTTTCATCATTATATAGCTTGGTCACTTTACTAGCAGCTGATTTATGAACCAATATATTGGCATATCCTGGTGATGATAGCACAACATAATCATTCATAATTTCAGAAAGTCCATCAGTAAAACTTCGGCGGCACTTTTCACCATCAAATGTACAGTACAACTCATACAGTTCATTCGTATTCCAAAACTTTGATAAGTCTTTTTCCATTTCTTCCGACACCTTGTACAAAGCAAGATCATGTGTTGAAGATGATGCACAACTTGATGCCGCCTTTTTTACACAACATGCATTCATGAACTTGTGATAGCAGGCCTGGTGATATCTCCCATCTGCAGCATGTAAATCTGATACAGCACCCTGAAGTCTAACTTCTACTTTTTTAGACCATTCATCTCCACGCTCTTCACACTTCTGTAGAATATTATGTTTAAATGAGCCTTTATCACCACGATCAGCAGTTTTGCATTCTATAACTTTTTTCCACCTTTTAGGGTTATGAGGATCTAATGGTTTGCATATTTCCCCACAAAAAATGCAGTGTTCGAGGAAATTAAATGTTGGAATATCAGATCGTCTCACACGTTTTGTCAAGACAGGAGAAGTATCTAATGCTTTGGTCGGTTTTGTTCTTTTCAGCTCTCTCTCGATATGAAACTTGGATGTATATGTTGAAACACAGCTTTTGTGACTTTTTATTGTCCAGTCAGGATTACTATTTAGCTGAGTTGAAATGTCAATATGTATACTATCTTCCCGCTGTTTACTAGAGGCTATGATCTTTTCAATTCTTTGGGCACCATTAATTTGCAAGTCTGTGGTACTATCTAATGAGCATTTCAAGAACTTTTTAAAATAACATTCTGTTGACATCCTGGAAATTAAAACGGAAATGTGAATTAAGAGAGCATTATGCGGATAGAAATTGGTATATTAATATTCTAAAAACTGAACTTATATATTTCAACTATGAAATACAATGTTATATTTAATTTCTATAATAGAAATACTTATGTTCAGTAAAAATTAAGAAATTACAGTATTCACCATAATATACATGTTATATAAACAGAATGTGTTGGAAGAAATTACCTGAAAGTGTAGGAATTAGCAGAGAAATAACTGACTCAGCACATGGCTAATTTTCAAAATGGCTCCCTTGAGATTACTGGGGATTCCCTCCATTGCAAAGGGAATTGCCTGGGTTAACCCATGCATGACATCACTAGGGAAAATCCCAGCATTCTTATAAAGAATTATCTGGGCTTATCTATAATGCCATTAATGGGGTATAACATATTACTTGAATAAAAGGTTAGTCTATAAAATTCTTTTAGACACAGTTTAGAAATATTTATATTTAATGGATTCACGATCTTTGTACATGAGAAATTCAGCCATTTTGAAATTATCATGTGAAAAAACATCAAACTGGGCACCTGGAAGCTAAATCTATATGTAAGGGTTATGAAATTCAACATAATCAGTACTATATTATTTATAAATGTGCAGTTTCACTTATACATTGAATAATTAGCAATTAATTTTTCGCCGTTTTGGGCAAACTGGTGTTACTTTTAAAATGGCTGCCAAAAAAATTCCTCAAGGATGCCCGTTGTGCATCCGGCAGTTTCCAAGAGCCAATACCCTGTAGAAATAGAAAATGCAAAAAAAGTTCATATAATAAGCATTTCCACCTTCACTTAAAATATGGCACTTCACATCCGGACTATAAAGTTGTCAGAAGTGAACCACCACTGGAATTTTCAAAAAGTGAACCCCTTGGCAAATCCTGGCTACGGGCCTGCTTAAAGGAACAAAATGCGTAAATTAAGTCTCACTTTTGATCTTCATAGTACAATGTATTTCCAATGGATTAAAAAGTACCTTATCTTTCATTTGAGACAAAAAACAGCTCAATCAGATCACATCAGAGTCTACAGTAGATCATGAAAAAATATTTTCGATCTATCAATTTATAAATTTCAAGTTTTTAGCAATGCCATTGGAAGATGGCATTGTTGTTTGCATTAATTATCCATTCATTTTTGATAGGATTTTCAACCATACGCCATCTTTTAATCCAAGAGTTATTTAAACACATACACTTTGTGAAAAGTGGTAATTCACTTCTTTTGATCTCTGAACTTCAACTGCTGTTTTCTATGCAAGTCTTTTTTTCACTTCAGTATTGACCCAATCTAAAGTTTTTATCACATTTGATTGAGTGTACCATGAGTACCATGTCTCAAATAATATTTTTTCCTTTTCCTTCAAAAATAGGCGCATTGTCTGTTTTTTTGTATTTTGTTTACCACCAACGAAGGTGAGCAATACCTCTTGGGTATGTCCCGTATATATACGGTCGTAATTTACGTAATTAACATGGAAGATAGACCCAGAAACCCCTCCTTGAAGGAGCCCTGTGTTCTTTTATGTGCACTTATACATAGACATACAAGTACACACCACAGCCTTTTGTACGAGTTGCGGACCACTCAGTCAAACACCCTGAAGTACTTCACGCAAACAAGCAAATTAAGTCTTGCCTGAACCGGGTGTTAAAATAAATATCTACGCTATTATGTTAAGCAAAATCCTGTCGTTTTGTTTCTTTAATTTCATCAAGAGATCCTTGGAAATGAGAGCCATCTATTTAACATTATTAAAGCTCTTTTGATTGGCCAGATTTTAAATCAAACACTGTCTTGAGCCATATCAGCCACATGTTTTTTCTCTAAAGTATGAACAAATTTATGATGATAGGATTTATGAAATTCCCCTGAAATGTAGAGTATCAACTACCCTGCGCACAGAGTCTAGTTGTAAACTACCCTCTGCCTAGTATAGACTATATTACAGTTTAGCAGACCCGCCCCAAAGATTGGTGCCTGTGACAACCCGGGTAATTAATCATTTCAAATCTTCCACGCTGACCCTTTCTCAACCAATCAGTGAAGTGGAAGGAACACCTGTTAAATACTTCCTCATTAATGATACAATAACGTCAGAGGAAATGACCATATAGAAAGTCGTCCGTATTTCAACGATGATCTCTGATTGGCTCGGTGAGATCAGAGATTTATTGTAAACTGAAAGAGTGAAGATGGAGCTCTCTTCTAAGAAGTGAAGTCGAATGAATGCAAAGGGTAAGTATCAACTACAAGCCTTTTTACTTCATTCCTTGTTAATTCCTCTATGTTTTACTCTATTTTCATTTTTAAACATGAACATCATGAAATCTTTCTTTAGGTATTAATTACAATTTATCTTACGTTTTAAATATCAACACACACAGAGGGTAAAGGTGACTCAATTTTGTTGATTTATTTCATTCATAATCCTTATCACATTACACATAACTTTGTGTTTATAGTTCAAGGTACTTCAAAAATTCCAAACAATTTTTGGCAGAAATTGTTTATTTATTGCATTATTTATTACTGAGTCATTGAAATTAACATTTGCCAGTTAAAGAATAAAATAAAATGAGTAACCAAGACTTAACATTTACACCTTGACACGAGAAGAGGTCAACCAATATCTCGCTTCAAAAGATTAGTAAGAGATTACAGGAGCCCTGTCTCCATGCTACCCACTACCAAAATGGTAAACGAAATGCCTAGATATGTTGAATCTGCTTTTAACAAACTCAGAGTGGGTCTCCTTTTAAAATCACAGCTATATGCTCATAATTTCACCAGTGTTAGTGATCCTTTTTGTAAATGTGGATTACCACAAACACCTTCTCATTTTATCTTAAAATGTCCTCTGCTTGTAAACGAGCGTGACACTTTATTTGCAGGACTGCGAACTTCAGATCTTCATCTTTTGGTTCAGAATTTGAACACAGTTGACAAAATTCAGTTTCTTTTGTATGGTGATGAAGATTTAGATAATTCATTAAATGAAAAATTAATAGAACTTATGAGTCATTTTGTTAACCAAAGTCTGAGCCAAATTGATCGGTTTGGCTAATTTTTGCATGCATGTGTTAACACATCCCTGGCCCATGGGATTATAGTTTCTTATATGTGTGAAAACATTACTTTGATAAATTTTTAATTTTAATGTATTCCTATTCATATTGTCTAAAATTGCCGCTAATGTTTTTTTTATAAAACTTTGGCAATCAATTGCATGTCTTATATTGTTTACTAAAGGAATAAATTTATGTATATAAAAAAAAAAGACTTAACATTCCTTTTTAATGTTAAGTCACATTTCCAACCTTTTAAATTTTTATGCTGTCATGCTAGATGCGTTATAGATGGTTGGACTTTACTAACTTTAGGTAGGGGTGGAGGATGGTGCCTCTTTTTACCCAAAGCATTTTCCCAGGCATTTTTGGAGGGATGATGACATGATGTAGGCCCCTCCCAGGAGGAGGATATTTGTGTGCCCCCACCTCCCCCCCCTTCTTTATCAATAACTCTCACAAAGGAAGGGGTTGGGACACACATAAACTAATCAAATAACAGGGCTCTCACCAGGAAATATTTAGGGTGTGGTGCTAACATCTTCAGAATAACCATTCAATCATGATAAATCATATATATGTTATATTTTATCCTTTTTACATGCTATAATAGTACATTCAGTCAACATTTGCCAATAGGGTGTGGAGGGAGCTAAATAGAGTGTGGTGCTGCGCCACAGTCTAAAAGCCTGGAGAGAGCCCTGAATAATGTGAAGCTTCAATGAGGTCACTGTCAATATATAGCCAGGAATACAGCAGGTTTAACAAATAAACTTAAAAGAAACAAGCTTCTTAACAATTTCTTGTTTTCTCTACGATGTGAAATGTGAATAAATTAATATTATATCAAGAGATTTTTTTTGTTTGTTTCAAAACTCCACAGGGTAGGGCTTGTGAAAAAGAATGAGGTCATATAGATCAGGGCATATAAATTGGACCATATAAATCAGGGCATATTCTTACCTGACTTTACTTCTAATGGCAGATTTAAATGTTTTAATGCATTTTTCTTCAGGGGTAGATTTTCCAGTTCAACATCTCCTGAAAATGGATAACCATAGGATATGATTAAAGCTCTTATTTTCAAAGATTTTTTAATGGAACCAGCTGGGTCTTTTTCCCTAAAGTCGATCAAAGTTCAAAGTATTGTTTTAACATACAGGCACTAGTTACTTATCAATTTCTGGACAAAACAAAGCCAAAAATACTTATCTTTTTGATCCAAAATATTTATATTAAAAAGCATTACGGGTATGAAGAGTACTTGACAGCTTGCCACATATAAAATTTTTAAAACCTTTTTTTCTGAAGGTCAATCGAAGTTCAAGATATTTTTCCCAACAAATGTTTCAGAATGTAACAGTATAGTAACTTGTCACTTTTGGACAAAAAACAGGCCAAAAAGAATTTTGGACAAAATATGTGAAATCATTTTAGGCCTGCCCCCCCCCCCCCCCCTTTATCCAGTAAAAGATTGTTTAGAGATTGTGGTTTTTATGGCTCTCGGATATGCTTGAAAATGTACCAGAGAGAGTCTAGTAAATGTCAAAATTTTTTTTGGAGGGGGCAGCCCCAAGACCCCCTAGCTTGTGGCGCTCTGTGCCAGTAATGCTTTGCATGGGCACATGTTCCAGGCACCTCGTCTATCCACAACACAACCCCTCTGTTTGCAGTCCCCCTTGAGAAATCCCCCTGCCTTGGGAAATCCCCCTTGGGAAAACCCCCCTTGGGAAATCCCCCCTTGGGAAA